CCTCTTTGCCTTTCATAATATCCCTTGATGAAGTTTTACACGAAGTCACCACATCGCCTTGGATATCACCGGTTGGCCCGATTGAGTATCGCGCTTATGCGGACGGGGTGATCATTTTTGCGCAAGATCGCATTTCATTCGGGGATCACCTTGAAGGATTCAATCAACGATTGCAGCCCGTCGGCCTCATCAACAATCACCTAAAGCCTTTCTCAGTAAATATAGCTGTTGCCGGGGCTCGCAAACAGACCATACCGGATGCGAATGCTTTAGACTGTGGTCTTTTTTAGTCCCTCTACGCAGCCATATAAAAAGTTTAAGATGTTGGGGTTACCAATTAACTGGAAGGGTAAACGCCCTACAACAATAACTGACGATGTCACAGTGCAACAAAAGTCACTAAGACACCGCTTAAATCACAGCAAGAACTGAAGATTCTGAGAACGTATCTGCTACCCAAGAATGCTCATCAGTTAGCTCTCGCAGTGCTTCACCGGAATACATTGAAGAGGTTAGATCGCATTGTCAGGTCGCAAGTCAGAAAGTGGCTGCGTTTGCCGACAGACACCTCAATTGCATATCTTTAAGCTCCCATTAGGAATTTTGGTCTGGGTATTCCCTGTCTATCCACGAATATTCCCCTGCTGCGGAAGGAGAGGCTGAAACGGCATGCTGACAATTGCCATCCAGTTACCAGTTGGGCGATCCAGAACCCTGCAACCGCTGCCATCTATCGTTTAGCGCGTTCTACTGTTGGCAATAGTAATCGCGTCGTCATGGATAAAAGCTCAGCTGCGGAAGTCTGGAAAGATGTTTTCTTCGCTTCCGTGGATGGCTCTCCCTTACGAAATGTAGTCCAGAGACCTTCTGCGCACCACTGGCTAAGGGACCTCAAACAGAATTTTTCCACCTCTTTTCATTCGGGGTATCCAACTACAGGGTGATGTTCATTCTACCAAGGCAAGAGGAAGCAGAGGCAAACCTACAAGTGAGGAGGCTTTTCTCAACTGTAGCGAGAGTTGCGGACAAAAGGAGACTTTGTTTCTTATTCTTCAGGCGTGTTGTATCACGCATGATGTCCACTGTAAATGTCCCAACGAAGTTGCGCAACAGATTGCGAGGCAACTGCGACGCCGAAGCATTAACATTGTTATGGAGCCGAGGATTCCGACCGTCACCTCTTTCATTAGGCCAGATGTGTTTGCAGTTAAAAATTCCACGGTTCACATTGTGGATGAAGCCATTTGTGACGCGCACCGAATGGAATATACTTACAAATTGAAAGTGGATAAATATGGATCAGGAGCGTCTGCAACAGCCATATCGCAAAACGTACGCGAACAATTCCCTGAGACGATGAATATTATTCACCACCCCATCATTATGAATAATCGAGGGATGATATACTCCACTTCAGCCAAACATCTCACCGCACTCGGATTGGCATCACTCTGACCTCTGCGTCTTCACGCTTCGTCTTACACTGAAGGTGTATGAAACCTACATGCGAGGCGCTTCATAACGCCTTACATAACATGCACCCAATCACAGATGGTGACAATTGACGCGGTTCCGAGCATTGTTTGAAGTTTTTATTTCAATCAGTGTTTCCTATTATGCCGGGACATTTGTCCCCTCTTGGCATATTGTTGTACAGCTCATCCCTCGAGACATGCATGCAAATGTCAAAAATATATGTTAATGGCATCAACTTGCAGAGTTGTGTGGGCAAGATGATTGCCCGAATCGTGCTCAACCGCCTCGTCAGTCACGACTGTGGAACTGAACGTGGCGGGAGAGAAATGTGGATACTGTTCGGGTCGCAGCACCATCGATATGCTGTTCGCGGCTTGTCAGTTGCAGGAGAAGTGTAGAGAACGACACCAGCCGTCGTACTTGCTGTTTGTTGATTTAACCCAAGCATTTGATACGGTGAATTGCGAGGCATTGTTGCTGGTGTTGGGTAAGTTCGTAAGTTTGATGGAATGTCTGCGCAGTAGTATGCGGATGAGGATGCAGCTGAGTGGACAGATCTCGATGATCTTGCAGTTGTCTCTGGTGTTAAACAAGGCTGTCATAGCTCCTGCCTGTTTAATGTTTATCTTAATGCAATGACGTTTTGTGCTTACGGTGTTCGTGTGGAGCACCATATCGATGGTGGGTTACTGAAAAACCATCGTTTTGAGGTGAGAACCCTAGTCTGCGAGACAACTATCCGTATGTTGCTGTTCGCTGACAACTGCGCGCCGTTTGCGCATAGCGCGGATGAGTTGCAACACATGACTAGTGCTCTGGCTTCTACCGGCCAAATTCGGGCTCACCATCAACACGAGCAAGGCTGCTTGTCTTTACCAGCCTTCACTCGGAATGGAGTCCTTAGGCTTGCCCCAAATCCACAGTGCCGACGAAGTGTTGGAAACCCCTTCGAGATTTCGCTACCTTGGTAGCGTAAAAACAACCGACCAGCAGATGACGAGCGAGCTGCACAGCCGTGTATCGAAGGCGGCTGCTGCTGTTGACAATCTGGTATGCCGTTTGTGGAACAGTCACCAGCTCACGGATGGAAAGCAGCTGTTGGTGTATAAGTCTATGGTGCTGTCCGGCAGCGAAATCTGGACGCTTTATGGGAAGGGTCCGATATCTGGAGCGCTTCAATCGGCAGTGTCTGCGCCGTAGGATGCGCATCGGCTGGAGTGACCGAGTTGCAGACACGGAGATGCTCCGACGCACTGGCATGTATGCAGTGGATTGCATATTTCTGCTGAGGAACCTAAAGTGGCTCGGGCATATTGGCCACATGAGTTCGACCCGGATACCGAAACAGCTGCTTTATGGTCAACTGAGTGCAGGGAAACGGCACGTGAGAAAACCGAAGTTTCGTTACCAGGACATGATCAAAGTGAGCGTATCACGTTCTAATGTTGATTGCAGGTCATGGGAATCGAAGGCGGTTGATCAGCATGCATGACGCGATCGAATCACGAAGGCAGTTACCGAGGTGCAAGAGAAAGCCCTCATGCATGCAGAAAGGAAGCGGCAAATGCGGAAGATACAGGCGCCGTTGGGCTGTACACCATCGACGTCCAGCGCATGGTGCTGTAGCACATGCGGTTGCGAGTGCCTGAGTCAGGCAAGCCTAGAGAGTCACGAGCGAGGCCACTAATGACCAGCATCGAAACGACGACGAGTCCTGCTGAGAACGTAAGCAGAACCGGTGCAGCGTTGGTAGGTATGCTGCATTCGATTTATCAACCGCGTGCTCGCGTGCTGAGTTACTTTATTGCAGGTGGTGGATTTGCTACCTTGTGACAGTGTTATTTTGTTACCACACTTTAATGTGCACCTGAATAATCTAATAAATGGCACATTTCGCTTAAACTAAAGATGGTACAATTCGTCTATTATTTTCTCTCCTTACTATGCATCCTTTTCGTTTTATTTTTGAATGTCACCTGACAGGGCTACATTGCGGCAAAGTAGCCGTGGCGTTTCCTATCCTCAGCTGATGAGTAGAAAGACGTTATAATGGCGGAAGAAGCGAGGTGCCAGCGACTTATTGTTTTTACTAAAGAGTAATGTGGATCTGGTATGATTACAGATGATTCATCACGGTCCACTCCCAGTCAGCAGACTTAGGCTAGTCTGAAACAGCACCAGACACCAGTGTTTCGACATTCTGGGTCCAGTCAGTGTTGCGCCAAAAAGCAGACTCCTGCCAGGTTCCACCTCCATGACTTCCGGATGCCAGCAGCTAGTGCCACTTCGCTATGCGCGACAGCCGCGGAACTGCGTGATTGACAATTGACTGTGATATAGTCCGGCTCGTATTCTACTGCCATGCCAGTTACGAACTGTGCAGAGAACGGAAGTTAACTCCACGATCTAGGATTTCCGCATAGCGCTTTGGTACGATGCTAGGACGTAGAAGCTATACGGGCAGATTTTATATTATTAATGTTACTGCTTATTTATCACATTGTATGCAGCAGATAAGGCACCTCATTTCCGCATTGCGCGATGGCTAGTACAGTATGCAATGTGTGTTTTTGTTGCTGTTTGGTAACTGAACTAATGTATTACGACGGTGCTCAAACTGAATATAAGAACGACCCGGGTCCTCAAACAAAGCCTTTGATAAAAAGTACTCATGACATTAGCTGAAGTGTGTTTCTCGCCCTTAAGCTAAACTGCATTAATGGTGACTAATGACAGGCCGTTGGGAAAAAAACAAGAAAAAGGCGTCAGCAGTACGCCGGTTCATCGTACTGTCTTCACTACCACGCGAGCACAACCGGTCGTGCGTGGGCTGGGTATACCTAAAAGTCACCCGTAGCTACGCGGACTCGAACTAGTAACTTCTAGACTATGACGCAGGCGTGTAATCCCTGTGGAGACCGGCCGATTAGGCAGAATGAAATGCGCCATGAGTCAATTGACTCATGCGGATGTGTCCTGATTCTTAAGAGGGAAAAGGGTATAGCACTACTCTCACCCAGCGGTTGCCCCGAGGAGTCTATGACATGAGGGGACGGCAGAACTAGAGTAGCAGTGAATCACTGGGTCTCGATACCAAGAGCCCCAGACCAAAAAAGCATATAATTGGCATGGTGTCAGTTGTCGCCGTATCGGCGCTGTATCGGTCATACTTCCGAACTTCGTGTGGTCGTCATCACATGACATTCCATGATTAGACCGCAACAGCCATCAGAGCTGAGCCAATAAAGCAGGAAGTTGATACAATAACCAAAGGTAGCATGAAGCCATCGAGTGCCCCTACCTTGGAAACACTGATCAGGAAAAAAATAAAAGCACGGTACGATAATTGTCAGTGTCTCAAAACAGATCTCCGTTAGAAGAGGATCATCGATCGAACAACCCCTGACATCATGATCAGGTTTGTATCGAGCGGAGCAGAGGAACCAACACATGAAAGCCAAATTAGTTCGCAGGCGACTAAATGTTAATCGAAAGAAAAAGAGTGAATTGCAGTAAACGCTCACCCAAGGCGATGATGTAAGGGGGGTAATGGAGACAGACATCAGTGCGGAAGCTATCGTTAATAATCCACCTGAACAAAGAAAAACAAAAAAAAACAAAAAAATCACGGAATGTATTTTTCGTTCAGATACCAACTTAGTTAGTAGTTAGTTTCTATGCAAAAAGTAAAGCGACCAGAAATACCATCTAGTGAAGTCGATTGTGAAGAGACTGTACCTTAGCAAAGTGGGATGAACTGGGTGCTTGGGTGGCACATTAAGGTACGTTGGGCGGTGCCTTTCAAGTTCACTCATAGCCAATTATGTTACACGAGTCAATGATTAGAGGCCAGACAAATGTGATTTCAGCATCGTCTTCAACAAAGATGGTGACATCAATGGTTCCCACTAGCAACACTTGGGCTTGGGAGACAACGACTAACGGGTCATAAGCTGAGCTCGATTAGTATAGAGCACGCGTTCCAGGGGTTGCTTCTAATAGTGAGGGAGTACAAGCCTTGCTACAACCCGCCTCTAGACCGGTAGCTCTTAACCAAAAAAGTTTAAGGTTTATGACCAACGAAAACGTACATGAGTCTTGCTAAAAGTATGGTTACATGTGGCTAGACTCAAGTAGATCGTAAACTATGCGGACATACTCACAAGCTGAAAGCTGTCTTGTGGTACAGACTGTAAGCTAGACAAAACCCGTCTTTCGAAGTGTGCAGTAACAGAATAAGAATCGTGTGTGAGATCCAGCCACTAGCATGCTCTCGCCGTGCTATGTCGCAGCCATTAAGGCCCCTTTGCCATTGAAAATGTGAAGAACACTGCCGCCGACAACGCTATCGATGCATCAGCGTACTCGTCCTTCGGACCAAAAGCCCCAATTCTCATTGGTCCTCTCAACGTCTGCACGTTAGGTCAGACTTGCTAACAGACAGTACTGTCTTTCCATTCACTTGGAGTTGAGGTACGCTGCTTCGAAACAGGCATGGGAGCCTTGAAGTCCTTAGTCCCGAATATGGCGACATAGATTACTGCACGCGCCTCTGGTGACGACTCAAGGTATTTGTGGCGCCAGGTTGCTTTCAGTAAGCATGCTGAAGGCATTACACTCGACTGGATACCAATTAACAGGCGCATTTGCGCGATGCGACTTGGGAACTCCACACAATCAATAAAGACAAGGTGTATTTTCAATGTCTCGGTCTATGCGCCAAGAACTACAGTTGGAATAGTAGAAATAACGAATTCTATCGTCAGCTCTCATCTTTTACCCCTAGAACAAAGAATATTGATATTGTGATCGCTGCGCCTGAAATGAATGCGAAGTCAATCACCTGTCTGACTTTCGGAAAAGAATAGATGCACATGCAGTATACCGGAGCTGCGCAGAAAAGCGACCACAAATAGCAGCGAAATTCCATTCTTAGTGGAGGAGCTCACTGTAATACTTCAATACCAACAGAGGCAATTGAAAGAAAGCCGAGAACATCTTCTACAGGCTAGCGGTGCCAATAAACAAACCACTGTGGATTCAGTTGCTACCTGCGATTGCGAGTCTCAGGAAGCCACGGATGCCGGCCTCATCATCAAATCTTGGTTCCGAAGATACAAAGACATTTTCGTGTCTGAATTCGCCGATGCTGACGACAGACTGAAGAGTAGACTGCTTTTGCGGAAGCTGAGAACTAATGAACATGACAAGCCCCTCACTCTTAGTTTGCCAAAATGCTATAAAGATTTTACCTTCGACCAACTTGTACCATAGTTAAATGACATTTTTGGTGAACAGTAATCCTTATACAACGTTCGATACAGTTGCATGAAGCTCGTTAAGTGTGCATCAGACGAGTTCGCAACTTACGCGAATACTGTCAACCGACATTGCGAGTGTTCCAAGCTAAAAGAAATTACAGACGACCAGTTCAAGGCTCTGACTTCGTTTGCGGTCTCCAACTGCTCGAGAATGTCGAAATACGCATGAGGTTTCTTAGCAAAATTGACCAGCACTCGTCCACCAATCTCATATCCAGCACAATGGAATGCTAGAGGTTAATCGATTTGAAGCACGACACGAACTTGATTGTCCAAGGCCGTAGTCCATATCCCGTAGTTACACTAGCGGTGTCAGAGCAGCGAGGAAGTCCAATGAAGGTCCCACACTAGAGGAAGCCACAGACTGCTATCAGCATTCTGGCAACGTGAGGAACGGCACTTAGTCAAGTTTTGTCCGTTTAAAGAGCATCGCTATCAGAAATACAATGAACGGGCCACAAGTAAGATCATTGCCGTGCAGCCGTTTTTAACGATAACATACAACAGATACTATGCAACGATATTACCCACACCTCTAAGGAAACAAGAAACTCAGCTTTATCTCGTTTTTGCCACTTTCGATGCAGGCGCCGTAAAGAGCAATAGGTCCGTTACGGTAGTTGTAAAACAAGTGACCGTGCGCCACCAAGTTAACACTGCCTCAGACATCACGGTCATATCCGAGAAAATTTGGGAGAAAATCAGTGAACTATTTGTTCAATGAACAACTCGGATTGCAACTAATGCTTCAGGCGGAACGCTGAAGTTGGCAGGTGAAATTTATTGTTCTGTAACGTTCAAAGTTCGATTGGGTTTGTTAGGTAACAAGACATTCAGACCTGAATTTACTCGGTAACTAGTGTACTGACAATATGAAACTGCGTGATGTTCCCCTGGATTCACTGTGCGACAAATAAGGCGACGCAGATGTGAACTGGACGAAGACTCTGCAAAGGAAATAGCCGTAGAAGTTTCAGAACGATCTGAGACTATGCACGAAAACTAAGGCCAGCTTATCCCTGCGGGCAGACTCGAAGCCAGCCTTCCAACCAAGGCAGCCGGTTCTAGATGGAGTCATTGCAAACGTTGACCAAGAACTTGACAGGATACTGTCAGCTGAAGTTATGAAACCAATAAATTTCTGTTCATGGGCAGCTCCTATTGTGATTGTCAAGAAACCAAACGGAAAGCTGCGCCTATGTGCCGATTATACTATAGGCCTGAAAGCTAAGTTAGAAGAGCACAAATACCCCTTGCCCCTTCCTGAAGACGCTTTTTCACGCCTGAACAGTGATAAGCATTTTGCCAAAGTGGACCTGTCCGGCGCATATATCCTCGGAGGAATCGTTGGAGTTAATAACTATAGACACCCAGAGAAGACTGTTGCAGTATACAACCTTACCACATGGCGTTACATCGCAACCGGCAACCTTTTAGCAGATCATGAATACTATGCTACCATATTCCGCTGCATATCTCGAAGATGTCATTATCACGTGCAACAAACCAGAACTACACCAACGAAAAAACATGTACTTGACAGGAAAAAGGAATACGGTTTTCGTCTGGGAATGGATAAGTTAGTATTACATGAGCTTTCTTAACTACCTCCGCAATCATCATTATCATCAACAACAGCAGCAGTACATCAGCTATTTCAAGTAATGCTTTGCTGCCTTATAACCATAACGACCTACGGAATGAAGAATAATAAGTGAAGGAGAAAGCAGTCTTAGCGTAAGATCTATACGCCCCAAACAAACATTCAGTGTCAACCGGCCTACACCTTATCAGCGACCTACGGTTGTGCAAAGATAAGGCGGCATCAGCAAAACAACGACCTTGCAGCTTTCGATGCCCCCCGCATCATAATAAGCCATAACGCTTCAGTCAAAACAACCTCAAACGCACTTTAAACAAGCAGCCGGACAACAAGACGACAGCGGAAGCGCTAATGGTACCGACTGCGCGCAATGTACTGCCACGTCTCGAGCTATGCACAAGACGAGTCGCGTGGACTCCAGCCTAGAAGGAGAGACGGACTACCAACACCAAATGATCCAATCAGACACTCCTTTTCCTCTTGCCAAGTTAAACTTGGCCTACCCCGAACCTTGTACCACCCTACATCTGGCATACAAACAACGCCCTCCTCGGTAAGTGGTGATCGGGCATATGTAGCACGTGTCCAAGCAAACGCAAGTTATTCAGTGCTATCTGCTGTTATAAAGAACTAGCCTGAAACTCGCCTACGCACATCATCGTTGCAGATATGCTAGTGCCCTTCCCACATCAGCAGTGTTTCGTAGGAGGCAATGGTCAGACTTGTAGATGATTCAGATCCTCAGATCGAAGGGGCCAACCTTCACTACCACAGATTAAGACGGACCTCACTATCGCCTTGTAAACACAACCCAATTCTGACGCGACAGCTGTCGGATTCCAAAAGACAGTTCTAGCTTTTGCAATAAATGAACTGATTTTAGTCGTTATGCACCCATCGTTGCTTATGCAGCTGTCAGGGTAAGTGAAATGGTCAGATATCTCAAGTTAAGCGATCATCAAGTTGCCATTAATCCTGCAACAACGCTACAATTTGAAGGTGCGAAGCGCATAACAAATAACGGGATCACTCTAGAGAGGTTATTTATGGTTGACTTGGCGATCCTAAAATCGTTAAACAGCGAGACAATATCGTCGGCATAATCAAGATCAACAAGTTTCCCACCAAGCAGCACTCAAGGCCTGCGTCGTGAGATTCCGCAAAGGAACACTCTATGAGGAAGTCCACGAAGAGATTGGGCAAAATGGAGATATCTGACAACCAAGACGAATGCCACTTGTTGGCAGGAAGATATATGACAAGTCACTGCAGACACTAACGCGGCCTGAGGTGCTCGAGTACAGAGCACGTAAAGTGATCACAAAATTCATGGGAACACCTTCCGCGCAAGTATTTCGAACAGAATGCATCGATCGACTGAAAATAACGCACTCTTGAAGTAGAGGAACACACCTGCTGTCGGTCTGCGGTACATATGGCGCTGCTCTAGCACATGCCGCAGAGTGAATATGTGGTCTATGCAGCCCCGCTTTGGGTGTAATCCTGCCTGCTCCCCCATAATCCAGAATTTCCTCCCCGCAGTGAGGTGACGAACGAGAAGTGAGGCCAGTAATTTTGTCACAATTGATGTTAGGCTAATACCTCTGTGGTTAGCAAAGTCAGTGAGATTGCCCTTATACACTGATACCATAATCGATTCACTCCAGT